ATACACTCGTCACGACTTTAGAAGTTGAAACTGAGCCGTTGTATACTGCCTAAATTAACTGTTTCAGCGTTCATGGTGGGATCTTTTGCGAAACAGACAATCAGACGTTCGCTTTGTGGATTGTGAGCGTGAGCTCCCCCGTACATAGATGTCTACTAGATAACGTGATGATTTTGAAAAAAGTTTTTTTTCCACGAATTTATCTATTTCTGGTAGCGCATCCAAAAGCAGTTTTAAAACAGATAAAATAATTCCGAGCTCGCCGAGGACTTCAAGATTTTCATGACTGCACTGGCTCTATTTCGGAATTCTTGTATAAGCCAGAATCAGGAGGGGAGAAGCGTGAGTATTAGTGCTCATTTTTCTGAAGTTAAGAAATTTACCTCATGAGTGTATTGTTTTCAAGTCATGCAGTTGCAAAGGCTAAAGCAGCAGTATTGAACACAATTTGATGAGTATGGTGTTCTTGAAACAAGAAGCCTAATGAGCGACGATATTGGCTACCAGTAAAAGAACAAATGTTCCATTTGGGGGGCAATTACAAGTCGACCTACTGAAGAGGAGGCTTTACAACAGTCTGAACAAAGTTTTCCGGGCCGCGACGCCAACTTCTGTGTTCCTTTAATCACAAAAGTAGTGTGTCCGACCAAGTCCAAAATATGTCAGTATATTCATTCCCTTACTGACCTGCAGCGAAGGACATCAGATGCACCACGAGTCAACACGGCCAAGGAATGAAAAAAACACAATACACCTTGGTGAGCTGTTGCATTTAGGAGTAGCGTAACCTTGATTCCTAAACCCGAAGGTGTTTCTGAATTTAAGTCCGAACCTTTCTGCCAAAACTACCGATAAGGAATTTCAGGCGAAGGATGTATGGAGAGAAATATCCAGTTGAGCCAACATTACTTTTTGAATGATCTTGTGAACTGTCGGTCCAATAAAATTATCAAATGTTCTTTGTAGTCCACTACCTCGCATCATTATTTATGTGTGGAATCGGTGTTGAAATGACGCTGGGTAATCTTGAACTCTTGAATAGTCAGATCCCTCATCTCTCCATCATTCTTAGAAGCCTCTCACACCACTTTGGTTGGAGGATCAATGAAAGCCCGCCTCCGTCGAATGTGGTCAACCTATGGGGGTAACTGGAATTGGTTGTGCTACTAGGTTCAAGCATGTCAACAAGGCGATCCGACTAAATTGTCCTACGATTGGCGCGTTCGAAATATCCGCCACATATGATTTGTCATGGCTAGGACACAACTCTACATAAATATGTGTGCATGTTAGGCTCAGTTAGGTTAAACAGAGTGCAGGCCTTATCAAAACAAGTTTAGTTTGGAGTGGCGCAGATCATTGTTCTTGTTCAGATTTTCCGCGGATCTTTGGTAAGTTGCTCGCCTGTGTTGCAATGTTTTTTCGTCATTTTGCACAAATGAAGCCTTGATAGCGGTTCCAGGACTTAGGTGCTAGGAATATGAGCTAAACCAGACACAACCTTGAAATTGGACGGAGTTGGGGCTCACAACTGGCGGATTACGGTTCAAAACCTCGCAAAAAACTCGCCTAATGAAAAGCTACCACTTCGGGGTGCTTTCTTTAATTTTTCTAATATTCGGGAATAAAACTACTCCCAAATAAAGATCATTGATTTCATCAATTATGTCATTGTGAACAATCCTTTGTTTACGTTTGCTCGTTGGGTGTCATACTTAACGGTCAGTGACCAAAGCAGCTTCGCTATAGAGTCCCGCAAGACTGTTGAACGTCTTAGAATAGGCTGGTATCCTCTGTTGCCACTCTCCATAAAATGAAAGGTACGGCAGAAAATCACGGGGTTTGTTCACTGCTGTCCAAATGATTACTATCACATTGTTGCTGAAGTTGGGTACATTCAACCTTGATGATTAAATTCAGAAATCACCTGCGTACCGCAAATTCAGTAGATCATGAAACCTCTGGTGACAAACTGAAAACCACCAGGCTGATTCATCATGTCGGCCCGGCAGCTTTCGTGACTTCAGAGATCATCTCCGTATCACACAAATTCAGTGGTGACAAACTGGTGACAAACTGAAAACCGCCAGGCTGGTTCATCATGTCGGCTCGGCAGCTTTCGTGGCGCTCCCAGATATGCAGTGTCTAAATTGTCCCAACTGGTCATATAGCAAAATGCCACCGCACACGCGCAAATCAGTCAACCGCTGCAGTTCACAGCTACGGTGACGAACAAACACCAAACGGATGGAGTAAGAGCGGTACACACCAAAAAGACGCTGATTCAAATCAAATTCTAAAAGTTGTTCACAGTCAGGGTATTCCTGGGTCACATCTGTAGGTATTGCACCCCAACAACAAATGAACACAAACGCATTACCTATAAACACACGCTAAGTTCTCGTAGTTTTCTGTCGATGGTCGCCCTGCTGTGATACTGGCAGTTTATACCGGTGGTGGATGCACTTTGCAATGATATCAAGAATCACTAACATTCTCGACCATGCAGTAAGCAACTGATTATGTCGACGAGGCATCTTAGTTGGGCACGTGGAAGCGTTTTTGTGTGATATCTGTCGACTCTGGCATTCAATTGTAAGGTTGTGAATAGTGATGATTTTTCAGCTTATTCTACTCGGTAATCGTAAAGCCCGTGTTCCCATGATCCCATACCATCCAATATAGAGCCGTTCACATAAGAAGGAAAAATTCCCCGTATGTATTGTTAGAAGCGTCCAAGAGTTTTTTTATTGAATGCATCGTCTGTCAATTTGAGTACTCTTTTCCGGGGTTTCCAGATTAATTTGTTCACTTTAAAGCACTTATGATCTCATAACGTTTCCTGAAGATAGCCAAACTCACGTTCGAAACCGCGGATAGGACCTAAAGTAGCGTTAAATAGCGCGTCAGTCACTTCCAAATAGGCGTTTTATTCGCGATTTGATGTTATCCTCATTTGTGACAACCTAGCCCGTTGAAAACAAAATATAACAGCCACAATAATACAAACGCCCTCATATACCCCACATTTATCTATCACGATTTGTTAGTTCCAATTAGACAAAACCGTATTTGAAGATCTTATCGGGAGATTTCACAGTGGCCAGCCTACAGCCAGCATTAGCAGGGCGGTGTTGGAGTAAAGCTTATTCTCAGGGACAAATTATATCAACTTGGTTTCGTGAAATTTATGTTGCCCAAAATCTAGTTGAAAAACCCGAGAAAAATACTCCGTTTTTGCGACAGAACAATTGCTCAGCTGTAGCACCCTTTCGGTGCCTAACTGCCATGCTACCCGGAGGAAGCACGAGGGCTTGGACACTGCCAGGTTCCCCAGGCCTAGACAGGAGAAGTCGAGAGGCAGAGGTCGGGTTCGAACCATGGACCTTCCGGTCAGTAAATTCGAATTCTAACAGCCTGGACCATCTCGCTTCTCAAATGACAAACCTACTTATTGCCCAAAAAATTGCATGGCATTACTCATCGGCTGCCGGGTATTATTGAGTTTAATTGGTCGAATCTTGGACGGTCCAATCACTATGACCAAAATTTTAAAATGGGACACTGAAATACGAAATGAACAAGTTAAGTATGAATAAGATTAGTTGAATGTGAAACGAAAACACATACATGCTGTTGATTTTAGGTTACAAGAAAAACTTACGTTGATCTGAAAGATCCGAAATTATTTTTACTTTCACAGCTTGCTTCACCAAACTTTGACGTTTATAATCATAAATCAGTAATTTTGTGTATCTCATCCAAATACTTGATGTTTCTTGGTTAGCTAAATCCTGGTTCACATTTAAGTAGCTATTACCAGAGGTTTTCGAATTCACTCACGTAAATTTCCGAGATACTTAAAGAGCCAATAAAACTACCGAGTCATTTTGTTTGACATTTTATCGGTGGCCGATCTACAAACTCTCAAAATTAGGTTAAATCTCCTGTTTCTAGGGAAAACTTATCTAAGAAGGATATCATCACTCTCGCTTCGCTGTATTGCTGAGCGTATGAGATGTATTTTTGAATGCATCTTTTAAATACTAAGCCAAGGGGTAGAATTGCGAATGATTTTCGAAAGAAAACGCTAATATACTTTGGCGGAAAAGGTCACATATATATGTTATCGTCATGTCACAGTACTTGACTGGTATTCTAAAGACGAGCACCGACAAGAGGTATGTTTACGAAACAAGTACAAAGCAGTGAAATTTTGCAGTTGAGTATTGTCAGCCGCATGATATATTCAATGAGATTTTGACAACAAGAAACAACACAGTCAACTATTATAAAGGGTAGTTAGTCGATGTGTCTGTTTGAATAACCATTAGTGTCTTGCTGGGCTACGGTCGTCAAACAAGTCTCTGATGAATGTTTTTCAGTCAGTCCAACGAACACTGGTTCGAGGATGACTTGCAACCGATAAGGCTAGATTTTGAATAATAATCTAAGTCAAATACGAGGCATGTAAATTGATACAGTTTCAAATATTCTTTTGTCTATTCTGCCACAACTTCAGGTAAACTGATGTACGCTCTAGGGGATAAAGAATTTGGATTCGTAGTGGATTCGTACTCCCTGAATTAACTTTCCCTGAATCTTTCTGTGGCTCACCCTACTGGGTTCATATTTAAGCCTCCAAACTGCGGCTGATATGAGCTGTTCTTTAGCCTATTGCGACTTCGAAAATATACGAGCTGAAGTCTCTCTTGAACCAATCTTAGCTCACTTGATAATCCCCTTAAGCATCAGATGTTGTTCACCGATGTGCAGCCCCGTTTGAGACCATTTCGATTAAAGGCTAGAAACGCAGTTTCGGTAGAAAAATTCTTGTCCCCGGCGCAGGGTGTTCTGCTGCACGCACTTACACAAAAATATTCCTCAGAAAGACCATCAAGCTGGAGTTTTGACGTTTCGGCGCAAAAATGACTTTCTGACCAACAATGTATTCAGAAATATTAGTGCTAAATTTTGGGGATCATACTAGTTAACGGGCGATGGCCGAAACCTTTCAGCATCGATACAATAGCCAAACACAAGGTAAGTTAATACTTAGCCAGTGTTCAACTAGATAAAACCAGCCTGCTTGTGGAGAGGTTGGTGAGGTAGCAGCTCAAAGCAGGTAAACGGAGAATGGGCTGTTCCGTTCTCCTACTCCAACCTCATGAATCCCCGATCAAATCGAAAGGCCATATGCGGACGTACGGCCCATATATTTACTGAAGACAAGTTGTTAAATTCCAGGTTGTTTGCTTGGTGATGAAAACGTCGCCTGAAAACTTTAATGACTATTTTGCAAAACAGCCTGACACCTTACAAGTTGTCAGACTGTCATCTGAGTAAGTCAAAAGCTAGTTTGATTCAGGTTACACAGTGGACTAAAATTCTGGAGAACTCATCATAAGAACACAGACCACCTTTGCTGAACAAATGTCTGGACGAGTTATGAGCCTGCTTACATGAACAGCTACACTGTTCTAAGATCACATCTCTCTTCTTCAATCACATGAGCAATACTCACCTGGAGGAAAGTTTCATTTTCGGAACTACTACCATGATGCAACACTGTGACTTCACGTAAAAATTATAAAGTCAGATTTGCTGCCTTCATTAGTCGATGCTTTTACATTTATTGTATGCAATATCTGGCACTTTCTGGGAGAAATTTAGAGAAGCCTACTTGTTGCGTTGAAATTCTCTGTGAACAGGACAACGTTAGCAGGATTTGGCGTTGTGAAGTGTCGCACATCCGGCCCGTTTAGTATGACTGACCGGCTCGGGACATCTGTGTCACATGTTGAGCCAGGACAGTTTACTTCAAGGTCATTGCATCCTGCGCAGAGTGCCAACAACAATTTTGTTTACTTGTAGGAAAACACCCCCGGTTCACATAGGACGAATCAGATACTACAGGGGAGTGTGCAAAATGTTTCGCCTACATAAAACATTTCTGTTTAACTTTGTCTAACAAAAACAACCATATTCAAGTGAAATGGCGGAACGAATAACCCGCGGTTAATTCTCACGAAGAGTGTTCATAGTCCCTTTGGCCAATCATCAAGCACAGGTGACTTTTCACACTTATTAATCATCGGTTTGTGGTTGGACGATTGAACCCAGGTTATTTGCGGGGTTTAGTTACAGTTGTTGTTACTCAAAAGCGATTCCAGTAGTTGAGTTAGAGGGTTGGTCTAACCGGCCCGTCCTCAAGTTATCAAAAAATAACTGGTCGTTCAAACTGCCATTTGTCACACAAATGCTTCAGCTTGGACCGAACGAAAGCCACAGCGGACCCTAGAATGGTCGCTTCTCTGTTATTTCTATGCTTCCATCATCTTTTCACCAATGTTTTTGGTTTCACTAATTTGTCCTATCTGGAGTGTGAATACTTAAAGAACAAAGTAGAGGTACAACTGAGATTCACAAATAAAACACTATTTGTGAGCTTCTTTTTGTTGTTTGACTGTATTTGGTTGGAATAATCGAGCAAAATCAATTTTAACTTTCATATTCGTGTTTGATCTGGGGTTACATATTTTTGCATGTTAATTTGGAGTGTAACACTGTAGAATGTCTACCGGTATTGACGATGATTTCACACATTAGAATCGTTGGAAGAAAGTGTGGCACAAACCGCCCGTGCCTGAATTCACCTCACGCTGAAACTTTTGCGAAATACCTTACAAATTGCGCAAAACAGCAACGCAATTCCCGCTGAACTTAAGCAAGTGTATAATGTTGCGAGTCAAAATGGTTTAAGTCCAACATAGGATAGAAGCAATACACGTTGTTGAATCAGTTTCGACGTTATTCCGGATCTTGCTGATCTTACACACCATCTTCTCGTGTCCAATACAAGCTGTGTGTTACCCGATTACCATTCCAATCTTATCACTAGTAATCTAGCCGTTGGGGCTCTATGATTCGTGTTTCGGCCGGATTTGATATAATGATTTCGGTTAGCGTATGAAATTCGGTCGCGAATCTCTTGGACGAGTTGATTAGTGCAGCTTGTGTGAACCAGTCTCTTGGACCAGTCGATATTAGCCGAATAATACGGTAGCAACCGTTCACTTTATTTCACAAAACGACAAGTGCTTAGTGAAAGGACTCTTTTGACGATTTCGTTTGACGTTTCTTTGGAAAGACCTTGTTTGATTCTGTTGATTTATCTTGTGACCTCTGAGGAACAGACCATTGTTACGCTTGTGCTATCCACATAGCCTTCATTTTTTCATATGAAAACAACTGAGAACGTCAAACAAACAACTCTGAGTTGTACGCTTTGTGGTAGAATTTGAGCTTTGTCATTATTCATTTGGCTCCTTTTCGTCATTTGGACTGTTACTTGATCTCGTTCCGTTTGTCTGTCCCGAGTACGGCATTCGGATGTCTCGATCGGATCTCACACTATCCTTCTCATTTCAATTGTAAAAAAAGGAGAAGTTTTAGGCGAAGTCGTGATAGTGAAGGTGGTGTTCGTGTTTTGAGCAGACAAATGCTGGTGTCGTTTGCTTAGTTTAGCTTGGGATTCGATTAGCGACGCCAGTCAATTTTTAGCGATGACATAATTATTCATTTCTGCCACTCTAAGCCCATGCCCGAAGCTTTCCTAACACTATTTTGCTCCGTTTTCAACAAACCAATTCGCAATTTAGTGCTGTTTGCGTGAGAGTTTGATTTCAGGTTCGAAAAACCAGCCAACATAGACATGTCGGTGTAGGGTGAAACTTGGGTAACAAATGCCTAGTGAGCGAAATTCAGGACGTTTGGTATGGTGGCTGTTCGTAAAGTTTACTACAAGCTTACGGTAGTGTGATGGAATCACCTGTTTCTGTGTCCATTATCTTTTAGAACAAAACGAAATTAGGGTATGTAGTCTCAATGGCCTTCAACGGTTTGAAAATCTTTAGGATGCATTCTTCCTAGATGGCCGGCAGGAGTAACGTACGCGCAAAACTAGACAGCACGAACTTGGCTCTCATCAGTATCTTGGAATGTCTTCAGAACATGAACAATGTAAACCAAGCAGATTTGCGTTCGTACGGCTACACGTTTTGCAATAGAAACTACCAGATTTCAATGAAATCCAACAACGCCGGACAGCCAATGTTTTCTGCGCGAGTGTTGCTCAGGAAACTATTGTCTAATCTGTAACCAGTCACACTCATAGTCAGGTTGGCTAACATTTGATCACTTTTTTGCTAACTGACACGACCTGAGGCATATAGGCTTTTCGAGGTTTTGATTTGGAGAAAGTATTCGAGTTTTCTAAATATCTCACCGTGATGCACGCTTTTTTATTTCTGAGGGATAGCATTCACCACTCTGAGGAGGCAAACCTCATTTAAATAGACCTCAACT